TAGATAGATAGATAGATGGATAGGTACATGGGTAGGCAGACAATTGGCCTGGTTAGTAACCAAAGGTGGAAACGACTGATTTTAAAATGAGAAGCCAGGCAGTTTCACATTAGCTGTGACTAAACATTGAGTGTTACTAGTTGAGGAAAGAAGTTATTAGAAAGGAAAGGAAGAGGGAGGTAGAAAGAAAGGAAATGAGACTTTAATGAAAGAAAGGAATTAGGTAGAGGGTTTCAGCAGGGAACGCCAAGTGCAAACCCAGTCATACCTTCACAGCTCCTTTTGTCAGGCCCCAGCTCATAGCCAGGCTCACACGCACACTGGTAACTGCCCAGGGTGTTCAGACATCGCTGCTCACAGCCTCCACGGTCAGGCTTGGCACACTCGTCTTCCTCTATAAAGACGGCATGAGTTAGAGAATGACGGGAGTATTTTGTTTTTATATACTAAGGTGTAAGATTTTTTGAAATTATGATATGCTTAATAGCTCTGAATGAAAATGAGCCAATTAATAGCTTCAACAAAGGAGCAGGAATAATTTGCAAGCCCTTAATAGATGAAAAACAAGAATTCATGTCACTGCATCCTAAGAACATGTAAGAACCAAGAGAAGTACTAGAAACCTAGAGCAGGGCCAACTGCAGAGCACCGTATCTCAGACACAGTATTATTATTTTTCAGAATGAAACAGAAAAACTTTCTGAAAAAAACACAGCTTCACCTGCTGATATCATAGTATAGTTTTCTAGATATCCTAAAAATGCTTTTAAAGAAATATGTCATGGTGAATATAAATTAAAAAGGAAAAACTCAGAAACTTACTGGATCTCTTTAAATGTAAAGCACTCAGTGTTTTTATATAGACATATTAATCCAAAAAATACAATAATTTCATATTTTTACACCAATATACTCTTTTACTTATATATGGAAACAAAAATGTACTATATGAAAATATATATTCTTCGTTAAAAAATAAAAAAGACATTTTAGGTATTCCACTAAGAGGCCATAAATGTTTTCCAATGTAGTAAAAGCCATTCTATAATGGGTGATTTGGAAATGCTGTCACCTAGAAATAAATTGATGAACTACAAGTCAGTATGAATTCTTTGTTGACTATACTGCAAATATTTTCTCCCAGTCTATAGATCCCTTTCTGAATTTTACTTTGTCTATTTCATTTTAAAATGGTAGAATATCCTAACAGAACTAATACCCTAATACCCTGTGTGACAATGTCCCAAATTCTAGTATTTTACCAATAACCATTGTCCTCAAAACCCATCAAAATCCCCTTCTGAACAGCGTATACTTCAACTTTCAATAAAACTTTACTCCAGTTGTCCCTACCTCAAAGCTAAATGTCACATTTATCCTGGACAAGGAAAATCTCACATTTCAAATTATTTTAAATTACCTTTAAAAAAATTGGCAGCAAACCCTGCCTTGTTCACAGTCCCATCAGAAACAAACTTCATCCACAAGGTGTTGGAGGTAGACCTGATATCTTCAGGTTTATCATAACCACAGAAACGCCCTATCAAAGGGCTATTCTCTTTGGTCCCATCTCGAACTTCTAGGTAGTCATAGGCACAGCTGTCATGTCTTTCAATCTTAGAGAGTAAAAGTATGTGAACATATGTCTCATTAATAGGTAAAACAATTTCTATGGTAAGATTATTATGTATTCCCAGTGCCATAACTCTGATATGGTCATATAACAGATTGCTATCTTGCAAGTGTGCATGGTGATTATCTACACTGCCCATGGATAAAAGACCCATATTATTCTGCTAAATGTGGAGAGATAAAAAACAAATCTACAGAACAATACATCTGTATGCATCTGGATCAACAAAAGTTAAACTGCCTTTTAAAAGAAAATTAAAATACAAGTGATAATTCTTTAGAAAATAGAACGGATAACATATCCATACTTATAACGGTCCTTAAATGTCTGGGCCAGATTATGCTACAAGAAGTGTAAAATTTTCTCAGGAATATAGCTTTAACAACTGCCCATTGTTAATCAAAGAAATGGTGATTTTATTCAAAGAAAGCTGCATTCAAATTCTATTGGCAAACATTACACTGTTTTAGGTTATAGATATATTTTTGAGAGAAAGTCTGATAATATGGATTACATTACTTCCCAGTCTATGGAATTCTTTACTGATAGTTAGCATAGTTACATGTAGAAAGACCACCATACTGTAGAGTCAGCACTGGCAAGGCCTTTCTCCAAGTACCTCGGCTGATGTAGATGAGCCCTTTAACCTCAGGACACTCCCCTCAACCCATATTAAGTGGCAGAAATCAATGTGTCTTCTTCAACAACTAAATGCAAATGGTAGGTCAGACTATTGGCCTATGAAACTTATGGAGAACTGTAAGTTCCTGGACTCATGTTTTTGCCTGGAACTACTTCTAAAAGCAACAGAGCCAAAATTTACAAATTATTTTAGAAGCTATGAGACAATTTCTAAATAAAATTCTTGCTTTTTATTTTATTTTATTTTTACAGAAAGGAGGCACTCATCCTGAAATCTTAATAGAATCAACTGCTTATTAGACATCTGAAGCTAGAGAACCATGAAAAGTATTCCATCTTGTGAACCACTGCCTGACATACGCTTTGCTGATATATAGAATTCGGTTGCAAAATACAGTCATTCATGGAACTACAACCAGAAGGCACAGAAATACTGCATAGTTGTTGGAAGAATCTGTTTCCTGAATTGTCAAACATTAATAGCAATAGTCTTCAAATTAAGTAGCATAAGGACAAAAGACAAAACATAGGTTTTTGAAGCACAGACTTGGTTAGAACTAAGAACTACATCTGCTGCTTCCTTTTCCCAATCACAGTAGGATTCCTTCATTCCTTCAACAGTCAGTGCCTATTCTCTGCCAGGCAGTCTTCCCACTGCTTGGAAGGCACCATTCGGCAGAATGACAGCGCCCCACCCTCATGGGACTTAGCTAATTCTGGTGGGTAGAGAGCAAAGGAACAATCAACAGGAAAATAATTAAATCATAAACTATTAGAAAGTAATACACTTTATGGAAAAATATAAAGTGGAACAATAGGTAAGAGAAGTTGGGGGTAGGAGGCGTGAAGGTTGCTCCATCAGGCTCATTAAATTTGATTAATAAATTCAGACTTTTCCCTAAAAATGTATTTTCTTTCTGTGTGAGATTATGGGAATGAATAGAAAATATTTACTATAAATAACACCTCATTTTTTAAACACGCTTTTTAAACTGTAGCTGTTTAAATGGAGAGATGGGGAGGGAGAGCTAGCCGTAACTAATTAAGGCACTAGTAACTTAATTAGTCACTGGAGATGACCAGGCCAATCTGATCAGCAATATATATGCTTTCTTCTCGTAGCCTTTAATATACTCCTTTCAAAATCAAAGTTCTCTATAAAGATGAGACCATTTCCAAATGGCCAAAGGCTATTCTTCAGTCAAGGGGACATATAAAATAACATCTAAAGCTCTCAAGGTGTAGGGCTTGATGGAAGAATACGCAACATCGAACTAGAGACAAAACTGCAGGGAAAATAACCCATGTTCTCAGCAAGCCATCCTACACTCACTTGCTTAAAGCAGCACAGAATGAACTGCCCCTGATGCATGAATCATATTGGAAGGGGGAAGGGGGAGCTAGAAGAGGAAAGGAAGAGAGACCACACAATGAAGGAAGAAGCTCCTTGTGGTAGGAAGTCAACTAACAGAAACAGAATTACAGTGCAGCATAAAAATTAAGAAGATTAATTTCAAGAGCTTTTTAATTACTATTTGAGGAGATTATTGCTTTTAAAAATTACAATATTACAATGCGAAAAACAAAATAGACACTATTGAAAATGAAACAAAAATTTATATTTCTTCAGTGATTGAAAAGAAATAAGATAATGGATATTTCCCTGTAAGTAAAACTCAGTCTATTTTTTAACAGATATGCAATAGATCATTTTAAATTTTAACTTAAAGTATAGTCACTGGCTACTTAATAAGTTTAAATAATTTATATGAAACACAAGGATAAATATTTCATGATCAATTGTAGGATTGATTCCACTAGTAGCTATTTATGAATTACGTATTACTTACATATTAAATATTATGCACCTGGTGTTATGGATAACACAATAGAAATATGCACTGTATTCTCACATAGCAAAGGCTACAGTTGTTGAATTACTTAGAAAGTAAAATGTGCCTCATACATATGAATTTATAATATTCAGAAATGCATAACTGGTTCACCAACCATCCTGGATAACTTATCAATGACCTCAATGACCTTTGTTTACATATTTTTCCAGCTTAACTGAATTAACCCTAAGTGGAATGCCAGCACAATGAATCTGTTATATTGGTGTTATTATAATTATACCTTTTCAACTACATCTCCACAGAAGTAATGGTGAGCACAAATGAAAGTTTCAGTTATTGTATTTATGTCACTTGCGTAGCATTTGCTCCAGCTATATCAATTATTTAAACAAACAATATACTGATTGGCTAGAAATAAATATGGTTGAAGCTAAAAAGTGAATAAGTGTATTGATATTATGCCGGTAACTTTAAGTTCCATGAGAAAAAGAATATCAAATTCAGTGATTTATAAAAACAGTAAAAAAAAAAAAAGGGGGGAGTTTCTTCTTGAGTTATAGCCTGGACACAGTTCACATATATGTGACCTGAATGCAATGCCATGCACAGCTGCACATATAATAAATGTTTGGATAATGATGATGTTAATTTATTACAGACTTTAAGGTAACCAAACCATATATGAATGTGGCCAAGTTTATCTCAATGTAAACAGACCTAACATGAATATAGAAAATACAATGAAAATGATAGTAAGCTTCTAATATATTTAGAGAACTGATATTTAGGAGATATTGGAAATAGACGCAAATACACAAAGAGGGAAAAACAAGTACACAGATTAGTGAGAAGGGATTAAGGTTACATTTCGTTACTCAATGGGGGCTCATGCCTTTACTAGCAGGTTAGAGAGGGAGCATGAAAAGGCCAAACAATTTCCAATTAGCAAGAACTAAAATCAATTACAGGTCATCTAACGTGGTCAGCCTCGCATTCTAAAACTGCCTGGCGGTGCAAAGCTTTGTGGTCAGCGCATGTGGGTGAGCGCGACACTGAAGGAGGGCCAGCCTGGAGGAAGGACTATGCCTCTGCACAGGACCCATGCATGCACTTTGCTTCCATTTTATAACCAAATTTCTAAAAATAAACACAACACTGCAAAAATATCTACTGCATTACCTAATTTGTAAAAATCTTGAAAAATTCCAAAGTTTCCAGATAATATTTCCAATAAAAGCTCTCCCATGTTCCCTGAAAAATTAAAAATAGAATTCCCATGTGATTCAGCAACCCCACTTCTAGGTATTTAACCCAAAAATTGAATGCAGTGTCTCAAGGAGATATTTGTCAATCCATGTTTACAGCAGTATCATTCACAACAGTCAAAAGGTGGAAGCAATCCAAATGTCTGTCAACAGATTAATGCATAAACAAAGGTGGTACATAAACACAATGGAATATTATTCAGCCTTATTAAGGGAGATGCCTAGGCAGCATGGCTCAATGGTTGAGTGTTGACCTATGAATCAGGAGGTCATGGCTGGATTTCAGGTCAGGGCATATGCCCGGGCTGTGAGCTTGATCCCCGGTGTGGGGCGTGCAGGAGGCAGCCAGTCGATGATTCTCTCTCATCATTAACGTTCCTATCTCTCTCTCTCCCTCTCTGAAATCAGTCTATATATCTATATCTATATCTATATTTCTATCATCTATCTATCTATCTATCTATCATCTATCTATCACAACATGGATGACCCATGAGGATATTAAACTAGTAAAATAAGCAGTCACAAAAAGGCAAATATTGTATGATTCCAATTACATGAAGTATCAGAGTAGAGTAGATAGTCATAGAGCGAGAAATAAGAAGAATGGTTGCCAAGAGCTGGGGTAGGGGAGAAAGGGAGGTTGTTGTTTATTGCGTGTAGAGTTTCAGTTTTGCAAGAGTTCTGGAGAGGGATGGTGGTGATGGTTGCACAACAATCTGAATGTACTTGACACTACTGAACTATACACTTAAAAAATGGTGAAAATTGTATATTTTATATTATGTATATTTGACCATAACAAAAAAACATAACCCTCTCCCGTGACTGTTAGTGTGTAGCTTAAAAATATAATTAATGCAATCAGCTCCTAAATGATTAAACTTTTATAGAAAATATCCTGTGAAATTATATACATTTGGGATAATGCTCAAGTAATTATTCTTTTTAAAATATATTTTATTGATATTTTAGAGAGGGAGGAAGGGAGAGGGATAAAGAGATGGAAGCATTGATGAGAGAGAAACATTGTTGATCAGCTGCCTCCTATGCCCTCCACTGGGGATTGAGCCCGCAATCCGGACATGTGCCCTGACCGGCATTTGAACTGGTGGTCTCATGGTTCTTGGCTGGATGATCAACCACTGAGGCACGTCAATGAGGCTCAAGTAATTATTCTTTGCTTTGGAAGAACATGTTAGTATATAACTAGCAAAATC